GAACATTTTGCCGTTTAGTTTAGTTTCTAAATAATCTACAGTTTCCATAAAATTGGTTTCTTGTACTTGTTCAGTAGAACCTAGTCAGTAAATAAATAGTAAATACAATTATATATTTCATGTATAGTGCTTTAATGTATATTGGATATCTGTCCACCTATTTGTAGCCGCTTTTACCTCTTGTAGTTGTAACTCAATAACTTAACTCTAATTAATTAGATATTTGCATTTTTGAATGAAATTGCTTAGTGTTGTGCGACCTGTTCAACTTCCTGGTCCTCGTGGACTTCGCCTGACGGGTCCATCAAGGGGAGCTCTTGCACGTCTTCCTGTTGGGCTTTTGACAAGAGGTGGTCGTAATGTGTTCTCATCTCCAGTTGCTGAAAGTATATCACCATCCAAAAAGTTGCCATCAAAATCTCGCTCCCCTAGTCGTTCTCCAGTTTCCAAACCTTTAAAGGATTGGCAGAGAAAACGTTCATATAGATCCAGGTCTAGTTCATCCTCAAAATCACTTGGCTCCCCTCATTCTTCGTCCTCAAGTAGTTTCAGGACAAAACGCCACTGGCGTCGGGATTCTCGGTCGCGCTCTGGTTCTCGACATACACAGCGAAAAACGAATGATGTAAAGGATTCTCAAAAAAGGTGTGCCAATGATAACCCCACATTTTAGTTTTAATGTATGCGTTTTGTCCACCCGTGTCTAATGGGTTCTAAACTGTACTTTGAGAAGGTTGTTGTGGGTAGACAAATTAGCTCACTTCTGTATTACATAATGATGATATTCTTCATTACATCAAAACAAAAATGGTCATTCGAAGGCAAAAGTAAATTAGGCTCTGTAAATCATCAATTGTGTTAAGTCCAAACTCCGTTGAAAACTGATGTCTATTGTGTTCTTGATGTTATGAGTTCTCTTGATAACCAACTGGTTAGTTAAAACTCGTACTAAATCAGTTCTCTTTAGTGTTTATTATCGTTAACCTCAAATAGTTTATTCAATGAGTGGTAATCAGGTATAGAATTTATTTCGAAATGTTCAGTTTCGATTCTAAAAAGTGAAATGTTGATTAACCAGAAACACGTTTTGCAGATTTAAAAAAATGGTATTTTACTCCATTCGTGTCACGTACATCCAAGTTGATATAAGTTACCTAATAGTCAACAGTTTTGCATAAATGGAAAATCTCGTTAAACAAAGATGTTCTTAACAGCAGGAAGTGTTGAAAGTTCGAAATGGTTGTGAAGTACTTTGGCACCAACATTCGTGTTCCCCCGAAAACCCATCTATCTTATGATGCTATGTGAAAGTTCTTACATCCTATTTCAATCTATCTTCAACATGTTTGTGAAGTATTTTCAATAGTTAAAAATCGTGTATTCAATTTCAAAAGATGACTTCTTTCCTTTAACTAATAATGCAAAGTGTATAGAAAATTGTAAAATCTGCCAGAGAAATATAGTGGTTTAAGATATTCGAGGAAAAACTAGTCCAAAACAATGAATTTGTATCTAATTTATTCTTAAAATATGTTGGTATGACCGCAAATGAAGAGAGGCCGCTCTCTTGAAATGCTCTCATGACCACGTGTGTTAGCCACCACCACGGAAGTCCTTCTTGTGGCAGTGGTGTTGTTCACAAAATTGAGAGGATGAAAAATAATTGTCTAGCATACTGTCTACGGCTGACCTACTTAGGGCAATTAAAAAATTCTGATTCTAAAATAATAGTGCATCTGGTCTCCAGAATCCCGAAAGCACAAATGACAGACAGATTTACTGTTGGCTATTTGTTACTGTGTAGCTCTGCACCGCCTAACGTTCCACTGCCTTGTGGATTAGACCTGTAGGTCAACGGTTCGAGAAGTCCCTCCCTAAGAAAACTACCTGCTTCAGTTTGGACAGCCTTGAAATATCCCATCCAGCCCACACAGATTCAGTGATTTGTGTGGCGCATAGAAATTTAGGTGCCCTACCTTAAGTCCAACTAACAGTCTTCCACTTTACTTTACATTTCATGTTGTACAACTTCGTGCTCCTTGTGAATTCACTATGCAAGTGTTTCGATATGACTTATTGAATGAATGGAACTTCAGTCCTCTTGGCATTGGTGGTTTTAATCTTCTCAATTGGTCAACCTCTTGAATCATGTGCAAGTTTTTCATCAGCCTGCATATCGGTTTAATACACAGACCATCTATTTAGTGTTAATTGTATTTAGAGCATACAAACAATCAATAGCAGCCAGCTTGTAATAACATAAAACTAAATAGTTTCTGCTCTCCTTATTATCTTTACACTTTTTAAAAATCGAGGTGGTGTTCGAGGCAGTGTTCACAGATCTACTGAATCGTTTGAAGATAACATACATCATTAATAGTACTAGAATGACAGCAAATGCATGCTTTTTACAATGATATTTAAGTGAGATGAATGGTTGGCTCATTACCAGGTAGCATCGGTCGTCTGATTTAACTACGGCTCTCACGCTCCCATGTATTGCCGCTAATGCGTGCAACGTTAAAGCTGGGGATTAGAACGTAACGTCTATCTTTTTTGTGAGCACATCAGCTTTCAAAAGCATAGTTTACTGATTGATAGAATATTAAGTTTCACTTACTGTTATTATTAAACAGTTAAAGTTTTACTTGCCTAAACTAGACTAGTACTTGGATATACTGTGTGCTAGTCCCTATAGATTACCCATTAAGAAAGAACTCATACCATTTATTAAGTATTCATGTTATCTGCACTCTATCTTGTGGTAGTCTTCATAAATGTTCATTACGATCTTTTAGTACACCACAACCAGTCGCCAGGGGGAATTCCAAGGGTAGACGACGAAGACGCGGTGGTGCCTCAAATGCTGACTCGAGTACTGACGCGAATACCTCAAATGAAGATACAACAGCTGCAAGGGGTCGTGGACGCGGCAACTGGCGAGGTAAACGTGGAAATATTTCGAAGCAGACTCCACCGAGCGAGTCTCGCCTTACCCAACGAGCCAGTAGGTTTAAAGACCATCTGACTCAGTCATCCATTGGGTCAGGCTCAATTGGACGAACTACCAGTCAGCTGCTTTCAAACTACACTGACGAGCGTGATGATTTGGTTGTTGATTTTGGTAGCTGTCAAATCATCGGTACTATGCAGGAAATAGAAAAACAGTATTTAAGACTGACTCGAGTAAGCTTTGTTAGTTTGTTCAGTGTATTCTGTAGTATTTTCTCAGTTGTCTTTTAACTAAGAACTTCTTTTTTTTAACTAGTTATATATTTTCAAAAGAAAGAAGTCATCGTATCTAATGGAGGAAGGACACGGAAAAAACTTTGTTTATTGTAATCAGTCAGTCAGCAACAATGTAGAACTTCGTACGTACATATACCAGTACAAGTTGCCATACCACATTAGCACAGAGATGTAATTGTCAATTCAAGTCCAATAGTAGTAGAGGTAGTAAAGGTATGAGCAATAGTCGGAGACGTTAGGATTAGAAGATACTATTCAAGAAGTAGAATCTAGTGAAGTAGACTTCTTTGGTACACCTTTCAATGACAAACACTGCCACAGAACCTCACGACCAACAGAGTCGAATGCCGCCTTAAGGTCCAGGAAGACAACTATTGCAGGACGCCTAAATGTATGCCTGTGTTCCAGGACCTGTCTTAGTGTGAAAATGTGGTCTATACATCCACGTCCAAGTCTAAAACCAGCCTGTTTTTCTCTAGTCTGAGGTTAGTGTACGAGATGCATGCATAACGGCTTTTTCTGACGCGTCTGGAAACTAATGTGAAATAGCAGCACCTAGGCCATATGCTGAAGCGTCTGCTGCTACGATGATCGGCATGGATGGATCGTAGTGTGCTAATAACAATTCCGAGCTAATTATAGACTTAAGTTTACGAAAAGCCGCGTCACACTCTTTAGTCCAATTCCATGTGCTATGCTTCTGCAGTAGAAAATGTAACGGAGCGCGAATATCATGCATCGAGAGAACAAATGCTGAATAATAACTGATTAGTCCGAGAAAAGATCGTAATTCCGAGACATTAGTGGGAGTGGGAATCAGTTTAATAGCTCGGGTGTTCTCAGGATCCGGTCTGCGACCGTCGGCATCAAAGATGAATCCCAAATACTTTACCGACTGCAATAAAAACTGGCACTTCTCTGGGCGTAACCGGAAACCGTTGTCACTGATGCGTTGTAGTACCAATGTCGTGCGTTCCCGTAGCTGTTCTAACGTCTTCGCAACAATTAAGATATCATCGAGATAAGCTGCAACCCCTGAGATATCTGATAGGATAGTATCAATTAGTTCCTGGAAGATAGATGGGGCAGTCTTAACTCCAAAAGGCAGACGGTTGTACTGGAACAAACCACGATGAGTATTGATAATAAGCAGCTCTTTTGATGCTTCATCTACTTCCACTTGCAAATAAGCATCAGCTAGATCGAGCTTTGCACATAACTTTCCCCCATTCAGCATAGTGAACAGATCTGCGGAAACTGGCAGAGGATAAGGATGCTGTTCCAGAGCTGCATTGAGACCTGTAGAGAAGTCAGCACATATTATGCATCGTGCCGTTGGCCTTCTTGATAACGACTATAGGTGCTGCCCAAGTAGAGTAAGGAACGGGAGTAATAACTCCTTGTCGTTGAAGGTGATCCAACTCTTCATCTACTGTTGCTAATGTTGCATAAGGTACGGGTCTCTTTGGACCGAAAGCCGGCTTAGCCTCAGGTTTCAACCTAAGTGTTGCTTTCATGGCAGTGCACCGACCTAATTCAGGTTGAAAACTGTCCGTCATCAGCTTCCTCTTATACGATTCAGGGTCATGTGGTTGTGATACCAGGTGGCGGGAGATCAGCCAATTTTAGCTGGTCGAACCATTCTAAACCAAGTAAATTTAGATCAGTTGGAGTTATATAACATACCCCAGTAAGTAAATGACGAGTCTCGGAAGGCAACTTTACATTCCAATTGTCCTAACAGACGAAGGTAATTACCACATGCTTTACGAGGCTTCTCTGTTGTGTGCTGCAGACTTGGGCTACCCAATTCGGTCCAATTTTTGCGTGAGAGGATGGTGACGTCAGATGCGGTATTTATTCGCAATCTACACAAATGCCCGTTAATATTAAGAGTCACAAATTTCCTCTCACCGCAGTGCCAGCAAGCAGCAGGGGGATTCATTCTTGACTTTTCGGCAGAGTTGGAGTGGGATGAGCTGGGTGTAGCATGAGCAGACTTATTCTGATTATGTCGCTGGTGTACCAAATGTACCTTCAGATCGGCTTGAACTACCACTCTACACTATAGTTGAGTCTCGTTGTAGGTTAATGAGACGTTGGTACTCATTAGCTATGTCATTAATGGTGAGCTTCGGATCTAGCTCCAACCGACATAGTAGCCTTGTTCTAATGTCACTGAACTGATGAGACTGGAGGCTGCAGATGAGCATAAGGGCTTCAAACTGATCTTCCGACAAAGACTTAGACAGAAAGCGTTCACATTCACGGTTGACGATGCCCACGTGCGTAAGAAAATCATCATCTTCGTTCATAATTAGCTCCAAACATCGATAACGAGTAATAATTGTGACGAGATGTCGCCAACACTGGCGACATCTATTTATCTGCCATTCTTACCTAGCACTCGTTTCCTAATAACGGCGTTGTTCACTCGGTTGTCCCAGGATATACGAGCAATGCTTCGAAGACACCTATAATCGAAAACCAGTAACCTACGAATATCCTCTACTCTGACTGGCCATGTTTCACAGCCATATAGTAGGACAGAGCGAACTACTGCACAGTACACTCGTCCTTCAGTCAGCAAACGGATATCTCGCCTACTCCATGAGTGACGCAGTTTGGAAGAAGCTAGTCTAGCCTCCTGTATTCGTGCTGAGATTTCGTCAGTCATCAGGTGCCGATGCAAGCCAATTCTGAAGTAACATCTTGCATTGTTCCTTAAGGTGGTCAAAAAACTTCATTTTGTTAGTCTTCAACAAACAGAGCTATGTCATCGGCGTACTCTAAGTCAACAAGTGAGTCTCCTCGTGGAAAAGTCAGACTACGATAATGTTAACTCTAAGAGTATGTCTGCAACAAAGTTGAATAAGAATGGACAACCCTGACGAACACTTTAAGAAGTAATCAGTTTAGATGACAGTTTCCCATAAGCTCTGTCTGGGTTAGTAGTGTTCGAGTATAGTCTGTATAAGGTTAGTGTACTTTTCTGGTACTCCTTTCAGTGACAGACACTGCCATTGAACTTTATGTTCAGTTCAGTACTTCTTGGCGAGAGCTTCTTATTGCCTTTCTGAGATTGCTTTGCTTGACAGCTACAAGCAAAGAAATCAAAAACAAACAGCAGCTAGCGCGCTTCCATTGGTAACCAGTTATTTCAATTACAGATACAATGACACGAGAAGTTCTGGACGGAAGCAGTAGTAACTGCTTGCAAAACAGTGTAGTGTATGGACGAGGCGACATGCCCACGATCAATTATCAATAAGTTAAATCTCGAAGAACTTATTTGATGTATAGCAGGGATTTTCACGACTGTATATTATGAAATGACACTGACCACATGGTTGATCTTTAAATTGACAATTTATATACCTACCATTGTACAAGGGAAAAACTAATCAGGAGAGGGGAATAAAGCCTCAAACGTATGATCCGAAAAGTGACTGTATATAAGGTGACATTTATCATCCTAATTAGGTGAACTTCACAATGTAACCTTACACGAAGTTCGACGCCGCGTAATGATCGGTAGAATTATCAAAGCGCATATATAGGAATTTTATTAGCATTGGTGTGTCTGGATCATACACATCGAGAATAACGAACGAACATAAAGATATATTATTCTGATAAAATAGATAAACTGATGTACAGTGGTCTGATAAAGTCATTCACGAAATATAACCGTTGCTGCATAATTTAACGCCACATTATAGAGATGCATATCCAAGGTGGACGACGAAGCATCACCACATATTTATGTGGACTGTGAACACATGAGATTCCAAACCACCTTCGTGTCGATTCTCTCTATTGGCTCCAAACTGGTTTCTGGTAGAGTGAATTCTTTACAAATAAAATCTTTACATAAAGCAGTAGAAGAAAACCCGATTAATTTTGATATAAACGAAAGACTTATTGTAGGACGGAAACTAAAAAATAGTGAGGATATTTCATGGAAAATGAATTGGAAATATCAGAAAAAAGATCGTGATCGGAAAAAGTGATTAACATTATTAAATGCAGTGGAAGAATCCGTATCGGAAACAAACGAATACGTTGTAGGTACCAAGCAAAATTCACGTAAACGACATTTGCGAATAGTAGTAAACAGAAAAAATCAGAATTAACAGTATGCAAAATTAAATCACAAACATGAAGTGAACACGTAAAAAGATCACAAGGCTGTATATTTTAATGGTTTTGGAGAAAGCGCAAAAAGCTATAAAATCTGTAACAATTATCAGTTTAAAAAAGCTTGATTACAAAAACTGGATGTAAACTTCAGTATGTGGCACTGAATTGAAATTAACAACAGATTTTTAGGATAGCGAATACATAGAGAAGGAAACCGCAACATTTTCATAAAACTGGCAGCAATCTTGACGCGGAAGTCAGTTTTGCCTGTCCTGATGATTCAAGCGAGCAATATTAGTTGGAACACAGGTTCCTTTAGGTCATACAATACCAGGTAGGTTCATTGGAGACCAGTAAGACTAAAACCAGCAACACAACGTGCGAGAGCGAAGTCGAACTGCTGACTGTAGGTAGAGGTGTGATAGCAGTAAGCAGTTTCCCTCGGACAACTAGCATCTGCGTCGATGCTACCTTATCACAACAGACGGGAAATTTTAGAAAAGCTCGACCCTAGAAATGTCACACCTTACCTCACTCAACGGATTTTCGACCCAAGCAGTAAAGCCTAATGAAGAGCGGAGCTATCACGTTAGAAACTTCCCATAAAAAGGCCGTGCATGAACGGCCCCAAGCAGTTGTATGTTCGGCTCTGCGGTCATATACTCAGGTAGCTTGACCAACACTAACCCTATTTGCTTTTCAGGTTCCTCAAGAAATTCCCTTCCACGAAGTGGGCGGCATGGAAGTGACATCCACTCTCATACCCCTAGCAGCACACGAATTCCCCATGAAAAAAGTCATCTACCACACTAGAACGGAAAATCATGATATGGGTAGAAAAAAAGTACTAAAATAAAAAATGTTAGACACTAATCCGACCAGTACTAAGTAATTTTGAATACATGAAGAAACAGCGGCTACGTTAGTGAGTGTATGTAAGAACTATTACTGAAATTAAGTGTTTCGCCATTATGAACAAAAGGAAGTCATATATTGTGCTTTCGATATATCTGACTTATGAAATATCGGGACTGACAGTATCTGGAGATGAAGGAATATGCATAGAATAGCAAATATTCATTGCTTAATAGCATCGCCTTTTGAAAAGCTATGTTCTGTAGCAAGTTTAGGTGTTGAATAATCATGCAGTCATAATCGAGACAATCTCGTTACGTAGCTAGACACTTTCATAAAGTCTATAATACAAAGTATTGAGATTAGTTGCTATTCTTGAGTTGATTTTATTTCACACCATCTTAATGGCGAAGATGCGAAACTCGAATACAAAAATATATTTAGGGTGTTGAATTTCATGATTATGACCTTCCGATTGGTTTAATCGAAATAAATGTTAGTATCACTGTAACTATCATTGTCTTTTGACATGACCACTGCCAAAGGTAATGCAATATGAGCAAAAATTGACAATAATAATATGCTTTGTCTAAACAACTAATAATAACATAATAATAAGAATAATGAACAAATAACTAACCGCATGCGAAATTGGCCTATTTAAAATTGCTTTAAAAGTACAAACAATCCTACCATTAGTTATCCTAATAATACCTGCAAATCATAATACTACTACTACCACCACCACAAATCAGAACACAACGTACACCTTAAACACTAGCCTGATAGCCTCTTTTCTTTCACGATCAACAAACCAGTTCACAACATGCTTGCACCGTAAAGGAGGTTGCTGATCATCTTCAGCTGGATAGAGAAGTCGGAAGAAACGATGATAATTACTTAATGACCACGCTGACCGCAGTTTTAAAGCAAACGAAATACAAGGATTGGTTTTGTGAGTTGGACGCAAACCAGCCATGATAGTATTGATACCTAATAAAATAAAAAAAAATTTGTTCTTATGCTAGCTCGCTAATACATATTATGATTTAATTAGTAAAAGGTGATCAAATAATGAGGTGAAAGTTTTGAATGAACATCCAAGAGATAAATCATTCCAATAACCGGTGTCAACAAGAAAAAGCTGTACAATTATGGCATTTTGCTAAAATAATTCAACCACAGGACATTTATTAATATGAAACGATATCTGGTCTTTGAGTGCCATAAATCCACTGCCTTAAATTCTAGTGCTACGAATTGCTACATTTTTAATTGGAAACAACAAACCGACATGACACCTTAATGGCGCAAGATGACTTAATCGCGTAGCTGGAAAACGAACAAAATTATAGGGGTCATATGCCTGATGCCCACAACTCCCCATGAATGTAGAGGAAAACATCATAAGAAATATGTGATCAGAGGTGAAATAAAAACACCATCCATATGGCTATAGTTACCCGGTACAAAATTACGAATGAATTAGTGGTTGCACGTTTATTCAATCTATAGTAGTTTTGTTAGCTGAGTTATATTTCAAACACACAAAATTTATAACTTTAGTCAGTGGATATTGATAAGTAAAAGAATATACTGATTAGGAATATCACAGAAATAAAATTACAAGAATGTTGATCTTGATTTTCAACTGCTTAGACAACTGATTAACAAGGATAAAGTACCTAAGAAAAGAGGTTTTAAAAAAGTAATTTTGGAGCCTTTCGAACTTCAAGTAAAACTAGCTACGGACGTCACTGACAAGATGTCATGAAACGCTAAGCAGAAAGCTGAACTCATGGGATAATAAAGCTATTTTCAAATCATGATCAACTTACCTAAAATATCGAGAGTGAAGATGTAATAGAGAAGTCTGTAGGCAGTAAATTCGAGCAGTCTACTAACACCTAAACCTTCTTTATGAAGACGTAGCAACTGGCTTTGACATTGATGAAACTCTTCAAAATCACCAGCTTCTAAGGCTACATCTGCATGTGCTTCATAAACAGATACTGCAAAATCATCTTCAATACCCTGTACCTAAAATTATTTAATAACATATTGGAAATCTATTAAAAACACTTTATATAGAACACGTTTCTTACACAAAAGACAGTAATGATCGAGAGACGTCAGTAATGGTTAAAGTAGTTGATTTTTCAACATTAGGTCACAGGTCCGAAATTTGCTTCTTCTAGTTTGGTTTGGGCAATCGAGTAGCGTCATCTGATCGGGAAATGACTAGATAAAAAACCCGTACTTCATGAATCCCAAAAACAAAGTATGAAGGATTGCAAACTAAGATCTTGATACTTTTGTATAAGAGCTGTCTTAAGAATATTGATCATTATATTCAATGAATAAATAACAACACTATGTGACGCAGGAAGAGATGAGGTAGAAGTTTGGTTACTATCTAATGCTTGAGCATAAACTTTCACTAACTTACCACGAGCTTTATCATCAATCAAGAGAGAATAAGGGGATACCAGTGAAAACATTGAAAGTGATACTACTCCCGTGAAATTTGAGATTATATATATGAGGAAAAATTGAATAGGAATATAACATGTGGTCATCAATGAAGTTAATTTTTGTGTTACTAATAACAGTTTGCACATCTCGTTTTTAATAAAATTAGATTTTATAAGGAATTATGCGTTATTTTACGTAATTCAGACTTATTTGTGGGTAGGTTTAACAAGTGAACGGGATAATCTGTTAGGTTACAAACGGGTGAACTGACAATCATTTTTAAAATCTTGTTCATTTTGTCCAGACAACAAACGTAGAAAACAACAGGTGAGGCAATAGTAAGTTTTTAAAAATTCTTACTGTTAGATCTTGACGGATACTTTTGAACTGTTCACAAACCCAGTGATAATCGGTATTTGAATACCATTTTTCCTTGACGTGCTCTAAAGAAAGCTTCAAAACTGCCAAGGGTCGAACTTCTGTAGGATCTGGAGCCTGAAATTGATAATGAAAGTCATCAGTGAATGACTGAAAAGTTGATTCACTAAGAGAATCAAATCAGATTCCATCGACTGTCCAGTTGCTCAATCAAGTATGTATTCGTACACGTTGACGAAAATTGAATCAACTATCCTCTACCGAACCGGTTGGTTACCTAACTAATTTAATGTATTTGTTAGTAATTAGGCCAACCCTAACTTATAATTAGTCACGCTCATATAGTCCATTATCAAACATGTATTTCAAAATGACGACTTCCTTGGGGTATGTTGTGGTACGAATAGCTCAACGATAACAATGTCGGATTCACTGAGTCGAGCTAACTACAACACAGAGTAGTCCCTTCAAGATCTAATGTAGCCTCTGCTGACAATTGTATATGTCACTAAATATTGACCAACACTATGGTTACGCATTCTCTAATCAATATAATAACGCTGCTTCGAAAACACTAAGGTTTCGGCCGAAATTTTGTAGCCAATTTTACACCAAAAACAAATAATTTCATGAAAATCATGGGAATAGAATATAACGTGCAGGTTAGTGCACGACAATGGTTTCGTGTGTTTTGTCTAGAAAGATAATGAAAATTTTGAGAATAAAACCATTTAGTAAAAACATGCAATTCAGAGGAGGTAATTGCATACTGTTAATTCTGATTTTTTCTGTTTACTACTATTCGCAAATGTCGTTTACGTGAATTTTGCTTGGTACCTACAACGTATTCGTTTGTTTCCGATACGGATTCTTCCACTGCATTTAATAATGTTAATCACTTTTTCCGATCACGATCTTTTTTCTGATATTTCCAATTCATTTTCCATGAAATATCCTCACTATTTTTTAGTTTCCGTCCTACAATAAGTCTTTCGTTTATATCAAAATTAATCGGGTTTTCTTCTACTGCTTTATGTAAAGATTTTATTTGTAAAGAATTCACTCTACCAGAAACCAGTTTGGAGCCAATAGAGAGAATCGACACGAAGGTGGTTTGGAATCTCATGTGTTCACAGTCCACATAAATATGTGGTGATGCTTCGTCGTCCACCTTGGATATGCATCTCTATAATGTGGCGTTAAATTATGCAGCAACGGTTATATTTCGTGAATGACTTTATCAGACCACTGTACATCAGTTTATCTATTTTATCAGAATAATATATCTTTATGTTCGTTCGTTATTCTCGATGTGTATGATCCAGACACACCAATGCTAATAAAATTCCTATATATGCGCTTTGATAATTCTACCGATCATTACGCGGCGTCGAACTTCGTGTACGGTTACATTGTGAAGTTCACCTAATTAGGATGATAAATGTCACCTGATATACAGTCACTTTTCGGATCATACGTTTGAGGCTTTATTCCCCTCTCCTGATTAGTTTTTCCCTTGTACAATGGTAGGTATATAAATTGTCAATTTAAAGATCAACCATGTGGTCAGTGTCATTTCATAATATACAGTCGTGAAAATCCCTGCTATACATCAAATAAGTTCTTCGAGATTTAACTTATTGATAATTGATCGTGGGCATGTCGCCTCGTCCATACACTACACTGTTTTGCAAGCAGTTACTACTGCTTCCGTCCAGAACTTCTCGTGTCATTGTATCTGTAATTGAAATAACTGGTTACCAATGGAAGCGCGCTAGCTGCTGTTTGTTTTTGATTTCTTTGCTTGTAGCTGTCAAGCAAAGCAATCTCAGAAAGGCAATAAGAAGCTCTCGCCAAGAAGTACTGAACTGAACATAAAGTTCAATGGCAGTGTCTGTCACTGAAAGGAGTACCAGAAAAGTACACTAACCTTATACAGACTATACTCGAACACTACTAACCCAGACAGAGCTTATGGGAAACTGTCATCTAAACTGATTACTTCTTAAAGTGTTCGTCAGGGTTGTCCATTCTTATTCAACTTTGTTGCAGACATACTCTTAGAGTTAACATTATCGTAGTCTGACTTTTCCACGAGGAGACTCACTTGTTGACTTAGAGTACGCCGATGACATAGCTCTGTTTGTTGAAGACTAACAAAATGAAGTTTTTTGACCACCTTAAGGAACAATGCAAGATGTTACTTCAGAATTGGCTTGCATCGGCACCTGATGACTGACGAAATCTCAGCACGAATACAGGAGGCTAGACTAGCTTCTTCCAAACTGCGTCACTTATGGAGTAGGCGAGATATCCGTTTGCTGACTGAAGGACGAGTGTACTGTGCAGTAGTTCGCTCTGTCCTACTATATGGCTGTGAAACATGGCCAGTCAGAGTAGAGGATATTCGTAGGTTACTGGTTTTCGATTATAGGTGTCTTCGAAGCATTGCTCGTATATCCTGGGACAACCGAGTGAACAACGCCGTTATTAGGAAACGAGTGCTAGGTAAGAATGGCAGATAAATAGATGTCGCCAGTGTTGGCGACATCTCGTCACAATTATTACTCGTTATCGATGTTTGGAGCTAATTATGAACGAAGATGATGATTTTCTTACGCACGTGGGCATCGTCAACCGTGAATGTGAACGCTTTCTGTCTAAGTCTTTGTCGGAAGATCAGTTTGAAGCCCTTATGCTCATCTGCAGCCTCCAGTCTCATCAGTTCAGTGACATTAGAACAAGGCTACTATGTCGGTTGGAGCTAGATCCGAAGCTCACCATTAATGACATAGCTAATGAGTACCAACGTCTCATTAACCTACAACGAGACTCAACTATAGTGTAGAGTGGTAGTTCAAGCCGATCTGAAGGTACATTTGGTACACCAGCGACATAATCAGAATAAGTCTGCTCATGCTACACCCAGCTCATCCCACTCCAACTCTGCCGAAAAGTCAAGAATGAATCCCCCTGCTGCTTGCTGGCACTGCGGTGAGAGGAAATTTGTGACTCTTAATATTAACGGGCATTTGTGTAGATTGCGAATAAATACCGCATCTGACGTCACCATCCTCTCACGCAAAAATTGGACCGAATTGGGTAGCCCAAGTCTGCAGCACACAACAGAGAAGCCTCGTAAAGCATGTGGTAATTACCTTCGTCTGTTAGGACAATTGGAATGTAAAGTTGCCTTCCGAGACTCGTCATTTACTTACTGGGGTATGTAATATAACTCCAACTGATCTAAATTTACTTGGTTTAGAATGGTTCGACCAGCTAAAATTGGCTGATCTCCCGCCACCTGGTATCACAACCACATGACCCTGAATCGTATAAGAGGAAGCTGATGACGGACAGTTTTCAACCTGAATTAGGTCGGTGCACTGCCATGAAAGCAACACTTAGGTTGAAACCTGAGGCTAAGCCGGCTTTCGGTCCAAAGAGACCCGTACCTTATGCAACATTAGCAACAGTAGATGAAGAGTTGGATCACCTTCAACGACAAGGAGTTATTACTCCCGTTCCTTACTCTACTTGGGCAGCACCTATAGTCGTTATCAAGAAGGCCAACGGCACGATGCATAATATGTGCTGACTTCTCTACAGGTCTCAATGCAGCTCTGGAACAGCATCCTTATCCTCTGCCAGTTTCCGCAGATCTGTTCACTATGCTGAATGGGGGAAAGTTATGTGCAAAGCTCGATCTAGCTGATGCTTATTTGCAAGTGGAAGTAGATGAAGCATCAAAAGAGCTGCTTATTATCAATACTCATCGTGGTTTGTTCCAGTACAACCGTCTGCCTTTTGGAGTTAAGACTGCCCCATCTATCTTCCAGGAACTAATTGATACTATCCTATCAGATATCTCAGGGGTTGCAGCTTATCTCGATGATATCTTAATTGTTGCGAAGACGTTAGAACAGCTACGGGAACGCACGACATTGGTACTACAACGCATCAGTGACAACGGTTTCCGGTTACGCCCAGAGAAGTGCCAGTTTTTATTGCAGTCGGTAAAGTATTTGGGATTCATCTTTGATGCCGACGGTCGCAGACCGGATCCTGAGAACACCCGAGCTATTAAACTGATTCCCACTCCCACTAATGTCTCGGAATTACGATCTTTTCTCGGACTAATCAGTTATTATTCAGCATTTGTTCTCTCGGTGCATGATATTCGCGCTCCGTTACATTTTCTACTGCAGAAGCATAGCACATGGAATTGGACTAAAGAGTGTGACGCGGCTTTTCGTAAACTTAAGTCTATAATTAGCTCGGAATTGTTATTAGCACACTACGATCCATCCATGCCGATCATCGTAGCAGCAGACGCTTCAGCATATGGCCTAGGTGCTGCTATTTCACATTAGTTTCCAGACGCGTCAGAAAAAGCCGTTATGCATGCATCTCGTACACTAACCTCAGACTAGAGAAAAACAGGCTGGTTTTAGACTTGGACGTGGATGTATAGACCACATTTTCACACTAAGACAGGTCCTGGAACACAGGCATACATTTAGGCGTCCTGCAATAGTTGTCTTCCTGGACCTTAAGGCGGCATTCGACTCTGTTGGTCGTGAGGTTCTGTGGCAGTGTTTGTCATTGAAAGGTGTACCAAAGAAGTCTACTTCACTAGATTCTACTTCTTGAATAGTATCTTCTAATCCTAACGTCTCCGACTATTGCTCATACCTTTACTACCTCTACTACTATTGGACTTGAATTGACAATTACATCTCTGTGCTAATGTGGTATGGCAACTTGTACTGGTATATGTACGTACGAAGTTCTACATTGTTGCTGACTGACTGATTACAATAAACAAAGTTTTTTCCGTGTCCTTCCTCCATTAGATACGATGACTTCTTTCTTTTGAAAATATATAACTAGTTAAAAAAAAGAAGTTCTTAGTTAAAAGACAACTGAGAAAATACTACAGAATACACTGAACAAACTAACAAAGCTTACTCGAGTCAGTCTTAAATACTGTTTTTCTATTTCCTGCATAGTACCGATGATTTGACAGCTACCAAAATCAACAACCAAATCATCACGCTCGTCAGTGTAGTTTGAAAGCAGCTGACTGGTAGTTCGTCCAATTGAGCCTGACCCAATGGATGACTGAGTCAGATGGTCTTTAAACCTACTGGCTCGTTGGGTAAGGCGAGACTCGCTCGGTGGAGTCTGCTTCGAAATATTTCCACGTTTACCTCGCCAGTTGCCGCGTCCACGACCCCTTGCAGCTGTTGTATCTTCATTTGAGGTATTCGCGTCAGTACTCGAGTCAGCATTTGAGGCACCACCGCGTCTTCGTCGTCTACCCTTGGAATTCCCCCTGGTGACTGGTTGTGGTGTACTAAAAGATCGTAATGAACATTTATGAAGACTACCACAAGATAGAGTGCAGATAACATGAATACTTAATAAATGGTATGAGTTCTTTCTTAATGGGTAATCTATAGGGACTAGCACACAGTATATCCAAGTACTAGTCTAGTTTAGGCAAGTAAAACTTTAACTGTTTAATAATAACAGTAAGTGAAACTTAATATTCTATCAATCAGTAAACTATGCTTTTGAAAGCTGATGTGCTCACAAAAAAGATAGACGTTACGTTCTAATCCCCAGCTTTAACGTTGCACGCATTAGCGGCAATACATGGGAGCGTGAGAGCCGTAGTTAAATCAGACGACCGATGCTACCTGGTAATGAGCCAACCATTCATCTCACTTAAATATCATTGTAAAAAGCATGCATTTGCTGTCATTCTAGTACTATTAATGACGTATGTTATCTTCAAACGATTCAGTAGATCTGTGAACACTGCCTCGAACACCACCTCGATTTTTAAAAAGTGTAAAGATAATAAGGAGAGCAGAAACTATTTAGTTTTATGTTATTACAAGCTGGCTGCTATTGATTGTTTGTATGCTCTAAATACAATTAACACTAAATAGATAGTCTGTGTATTAAACCGATATGCAGGCTGATGAAAAACTTGCACATGATTCAAGAGGTTGACCAATTGAGAAGATTAAAACCACCAATGCCAAGAGGACTGAAGTTCCATTCATTCAATAAGTCATATCGAAACACTTGCATAGTGAATTCACAAGGAGCACGAAGTTGTACAACATGAAATGTAAAGTAAAGTGGAAGACTGTTAGTTGGACTTAAGGTAGGGCACCTAAATTTCTATGCGCCACACAAATCACTGAATCTGTGTGGGCTGGATGGGATATTTCAAGGCTGTCCAAACTGAAGCAGGTAGTTTTCTTAGGGAGGGACTTCTCGAACCGTTGACCTACAGGTCTAATCCACAAGGCAGTGGAACGTTAGGCGGTGCAGAGCTACACAGTAACAAATAGCCAACAGTAAATCTGTCTGTCATTTGTGCTTTCGGGATTCTGGAGACCAGATGCACTATTATTTTAGAATCAGAATTTTTTAATTGCCCTAAGTAGGTCAGCCGTAGACAGTATGCTAGACAATTATTTTTCATCCTCTCAATTTTGTGAACAACACCACTGCCACAAGAAGGACTTCCGTGGTGGTGGCTAACACACGTGGTCATGAGAGCATTTCAAGAGAGCGGCCTCTCTTCATTTGCGGTCATACCAACATATTTTAAGAATAAATTAGATACAAATTCATTGTTTTGGACTAGTTTTTCCTCGAATATCTTAAACCACTATATTTCTCTGGCAGATTTTACAATTTTCTATACACTTTGCATTATTAGTTAAAGGAAAGAAGTCATCTTTTGAAATTGAATACACGATTTTTAACTATTGAAAATACTTCACAAACATGTTGAAGATAGATTGAAATAGGATGTAAGAACTTTCACATAGCATCATAAGATAGATGGGTTTTCAGGGGAACACGAATGTCCAAAGTACTTCACAACCATTTCGAACTTTCAACACTTCCTGCTGTTAAGAACATCTTTGTTTAACGAGATTTTCCATTTATGCAAAACTGTTGACTATTAGGTAACTTATATCAACTTGGATGTACGTGACACGAATGGAGTAAAATACCATTTTTTTAAATCTGCAAAACGTGTTTCTGGTTAATCAACATTTCACTTTTTAGAATCGAAACTGAACATTTCGAAATAAATTCTATACCTGATTACCACTCATTGAATAAACTATTTGAGGTTAACGATAATAAACACTAAAGAGAACTGATTTAGTACGAGTTTTAACTAACCAGTTGGTTATCAAGAGAACTCATAACATCAAGAACACAATAGACATCAGTTTTCAACGGAGTTTGGACTTAACACAATTGATGATTTACAGAGCCTAATTTACTTTTGCCTTCGAATGACCATTTTTGTTTTGATGTAATGAAGAATATCATCATTATGTAATACAGAAGTGAGCTAATTTGTCTACCCACAAACACCTTCTCAAAGTACAGTTTAGAACCCATTAGACACGGGTGGACAAAACGCATACATTAAAACTAAAATGTGGGGTTATCATTGGCACACCTTTTTTGAGAATCCTTTACATCATTCGATTTTCGCTGTGTATGTCGAGAACCAGAGCGCGACCGAGAATCCCGACGCCAGTGGCGTTTTGTCCTGAAACTACTTGAGGACGAAGAATGAGGGGAGCCAAGTGATTTTGAGGATGAACTAGACCTGGATCTATATGAACGTTTTCTCTGCCAATCCTTTAAAGGTTTGGAAACTGGAGAACGACTAGGGGAGCGAGATTTTGATGGCAACTTTTTGGATGGTGATATACTTTCAGCAACTGAAGATGAGAACCCATTATGGGGGGGGGGGGGGGGGGGGGGAGGGGAGCGACCACCTCTTGTCAAAAGC